CATGTACACCTAACAGGTCATCCAATTACGTACAAGATCATGTACACCTAACAGGTCATCCAATTACGTACAATTAGATCTTGTTTTGATAACATATTTTATTTTTAGTTTTAGCAAATGTCTAGCAGGTTAGGTACAAGACCCTCAAATTGGAAGAAAGCATTTGCTTTGTCCCCACTAATCATCACTACCTCCACAACATGTAAAGACGATTTATAAATAGTTAGAAGAAAGAAACTGACTTTTATCCCATTAAGCATCCATGTTTTAACTGAAAAGCAAAGTTCCAAAAAGACATAAGAAGCAGTTTCCACAGCATTCGTCACTAGATTCCTCCCTTAAACATCAAGACAAGACTAAATTAAAGGGAAAAGGTAAAAAGTATCTAAGTGGAAAAAAGGGCCGCAATAAGTACCAAAGTTCCACAACAACACCGACCAAGTTGAATCATTGGTTAAATGTCTCTAGAGCTTGCTCTAAATGGAAAATTTCGACTTGTTACCCTAAACAGCCTTAACAAACCACAAAATATAATTTAATAATATATAACTATCTTCTGCTCATCACGTTGCTTTTGCACATAATTTATGACATCAAAGTGAAGAACAAGAGGATGGAGGGTTCAGAAATTAAAGAATACATTAAAGAAATGATTCCCTTCTGGTTTTCCAAGATGATGATGACGGCGTAGGACATTAGAATTCCTACAAAACTAAACCGAAAGCTAAAGGGTCAAACAAATTTGGCTACGTAAAAGTTAAAACCTTATCTTCTACATGTTTCTTTGTAGCTTACATCAACAGAAGAATATGATCATTCATTCCTTCCACACTCCCCCTAAAAATTTTCAATTTCCTGTCCAGTTTGTACTTCATTACTCACAGAACAAGAAACCCACTAAAGATCTTGCTCCTGTTCTGGGAATTATGCTATATTTGTACCATTGACAATAAAGAAGCAATTCATCAAACATTAGATGAAGATGAACTGACTTGCATAGAAGGCTAAGACCCTCTTCCTTTCCATCTCAACACCCCAGAAAAGAACCAGAAATATCAAAACAAAGGGAAGAACAAAGCAGAGACAGAATTAATGAACTGGGTACAAAGTACAAACCTCAGAGTAGATATGATCAGAATCAGCCGAAGTTCCCTGCGCCGGCAACCCAAGTGCAGTCCCAATATCAGCAACAGCAGGTTGCAGTTCCTTCACAGACAACTGACCGTCACTGTCCTTATCAAGCTCCTGGAACTTATGATCCACGAAGTTGCTAAACACCTCCTCGTTCTCAACCAACTTCATTATGTCCGAACCGTCTAGCACCTGCTCGCTTTTCTTCTTCGCTGCGCTAGTCTCCATTAATTCTCTTCTCCCTTTTCCTCCCAAGTCTCTCGTGAGTCCTGTGAGTCCTTTCCCCGAGTCCCGTGAGTCACCCACGAGTTAAAGTTAAGGCCTTTACCTTTGCTTCTTCCCTGGAAATGGAAATCCGGATTCGCTTCATTTATAGCAGCGAGGAGAGAGTGACGATGATAATTTGATGGGAATAACTGCTAACTTGCCCCTTAACTGAATAGGTTCTTACAATCAAGCCTAATAACTATGTTTTGTGTTAAGTAAGCCTCTTAAAGTAAGTTTTGTTTTGTCCAAGTTCCTAAACTATTTAATCATTTTATTTAAGGCTAAAGTTAACATGAGATGGTGGATGTCCCTTATTAGATATTTTATTTTTCTCATAAATTCCGATAATTCATTAATGAGTCGAAAATTCTAATATATCATAAATATACATTTGATGTGATATTTCAAGTCTATATTAAAAATTTATGCATGTGTTATATTAAGATGAAACATTGGCACTAATGCAAAGGTTTATTATATGACATTTTTCTCTGGGCAAAAACAACCATTATTAAAGGTATTTTTTGATACATTAAGAGGTAACTACATGACAAGATAGAAATTTGAGTTCTTTATCCCAAATCCCAAATCAAAACTTTTACTTTAGTGAGAGTATTAACTTAACTAATCTTTTGCTAGGATGTTAGAGGTATTTTGATATAATAGAATGTCTCTTAAGTTAACAGTAAAAAATAACTCTATAGTGATTAGTGACGTGAGAGGGAATAAATTCATCATTCATTGTTCTTAAGTTTATTTGCAAATTGTTATTAGTTTTAAACAAAATTATAAGAATTGTTTCTACTAAAATTCATTTTTATAGATTTGCATTCACTATGTCAAAATGAAAGAGTTCAGCCAATAAGCCCTTTGAAAAGGGATGGTGTCCCCTGTAATTCAAGGGATTAAAGGACATAAAGGTTACTTTAGGGGCTCAATTGACCCAAAACTCATTTGGAGGTTTTGACTGTAACAAAATTGATTAGTTAAGGGGCCAAGTTAGGGTTACTTTTGATAACGGTTCTTTTCGCAAAACAAAAAAGGAGGACATGTTTGGTATTATCACTGTCATGATGAAAACTGCTTTTCCTTTACGTCTTTTAGGATCGAACATTTTAACCAAACACGGCCTAAATGATGCGCCGACGGGAAGGTCGTGCGGTGTCCACCAAGCCATTTGTGTGGTTGGGACACGTTAGGCGGTTCTGGTCCTTGCGGAGCCTCCGAGAAAAGACGAAAAAAGTCTCATGCTGCATTTGCCGCCCTATGTCTTTGTTGGGTACAGCCGTCCTATGGCTAAGTTGTTGAGTTGGAAAATAAGACGTAAAGATATAAAATATATATATGTGTGTTTTATATTATAAATTAATTTTACATTAAATATAAATCTTATATTAAAATTATATCTCTAAACTCCAGGGCGCAACTGGCTTTGTTGCTGGCAGGTTGTTTGTGTCACTGTGACAATCAAACTACACGTGCCCATCCTCAATTAAGTGCTAGCTGGTGAAGGCTTCCGCTATGATTCACCATAATTACGCATGCAACTGAAAGTATAAACAACACCAATTCCAAAAATTTATCAGTATTGTTTAGGATTGTCAACGAAAAAAATGTATTTTAATTTATGAGTATTGTTGAGTTAATTTGAGTTTTAAATATATAGTCTCAAGCGCGACTTTATTTAGTGAAAAAAATTAAAAACAAGAATAGTCCTTATTGATTTTTGTTTTAAGCTTGAGTCCACACCCAGCTTAATTAATTGAGTTTTTAGTTATATCATTCTTAGGGATGGCAACGTGGGTAAGGTGGAGATCCTCTCCCCATCCTTATCTTTACCAATGACGGGTACAAAGATCCTTTATGAGAATTTTTAGTGGAAATTCAAAAATAATCTCCGTTCTCATCCCCATGAGCATTAATAGGTCCCCACGGGTATTCAGAGATTTTTGTCAAATAAAACTATCATATGTTTCACTGCTTGTTAATTAAAATTACACTCAACATGGGTATACTTAAATTCTCCTAATTTCCACATTCATCAAATAAAACTATCTCAAATAATCATATAAAGTGCAAATTTGCAACAAGACAAATAAGTAATAAATATACACAGCTAATATATACTTGTCAATCATGTCCAACAAGTCAACAATAAGTTTATAAAGAAAAAAGGCATAAATTGCCATATAAATCCAACAAATCCAATATAAGATTCATAAAAAAAAAAAAAAGGCATAAACTGCCATTATCATTAGCAAAGTTCATAGAAAAAAAATGCATAAACTATTATCATACATGTCTAGCAATAAGTTCATTAAGAAAAAAGGCATACAAGAGATGAGTTACTGATGGTTGGTTGAGAGATTATAGAAGAGCTATCAAGTTCGAGTGTGAGTGAGAAATGGGAGAAGATTGTTGTAGTGGTTGCACAATGGCTAGTGACAATGAGAGCTAGAAGGGAATCACGAATGAGGATTGAGGAGTATAAATAAAGTTACAGCGTAGAGCTACAGAGGAGACTGGATAGGAGGAATCGCAAATTTAAAATTGAGATCTTTGGATAGTCCTTCTAGAGTTACCAATGCAAATTTGGCTGGGCAATTATGTTTAGACTAAATTGACAAAAAGAATAGGCTGGACTTGACAATTGGGTTTGGGAAAACTGAAAAAAGAATGAGTTGTAAAATTTAGGCTGTATTGGTATTGGATTAGCTAATTAAATTAGGAAAGTAAAAATTAATTGTTAACATATTTACAAATATATATAAAAATTTATATATATTTTTATTTTATATGGATTAATACAGTTCCCACGGGGTGAAAGAAATTCCTCACAAAATTTTACGAGAAAGAAATACCTCTATCCCCACCCCACGAAGAAGAATATTTTTGAAATCTCCATTCTTATAATAGGATCTTCGCAATGCTCTGGGGTAATGAAAGAAATTGCCATCCCTAATCATTATGTACTTTTATGAACATATCTCTAACACTAAAAAAAACTTCGTTGGTGTTCAAGTTTGGCACTACTTGTCGCTCTCTGCTGGACTTAATTACTTTTTTTTTTTTTTTATGTTCAACATTTTTTAACTTTGCAATGTTCATGTAATTAAGCAACTCAAGTGGTTCCTTTGATTGCTCTTACATTTTTTATTTTATCCATGATTCCTTAACTCCGTTTTTCATTTTAATTATATAATAAAAAATAACATCTTTAATTGTTTACTTCATTTTTATTAATATGTTATATAATTTAAACTCAAAATTTTTTACTTTTAATAAAAATTATTATTAAACTACTAATATTATTTTTTTAATTTTATATATTCAAATAAATTCATTACAGTCAAAACTAATATAAGGTAAAAAACCCTTCGATTAAGACTTTATTATATTCATCCAAGTCAATCACCAAACTAGCATTCAAACTTTTTGAATTTAGTTTTGATTTTAAATTTAGCCAACAACTTTAATAATTCAAAAAACTTTTAACTTCTTTCTTAAATATATTCATAAGTTATAGTATTTGATTTTTTAAAATTATATCTGATATACATATATTAAATTCATAATAATTCAAAATATTGATTAGAACACATAATTTCGTTAAAAAACACAATAATTTCATAAATTTTTTGTTTCTCTAACTTAAAATATGAAGTTCTTATCCTTAAAAGAGACACCCCTCTTGTGGTTACAATGTAGTAACTCCTCGTAATAATTTATTCCCAAGATAAAGCAACTTCATCGGCAAGGGAAACATAAGATTTTCCAAATAATTTTAATTAATTTGATGGTGATGGCTAAATACCTGCAAGTCAAGGACACTGCGGTTGAATCCCAGAAAATTGGGTAATTTCCAGTGAAAATAATAATGGCTACAAAAACCTTAATTTGTTGCCCGGATATATCTTTCCTGTCTACAAACATAAATTTTATCACAGTTTTTTTTGGCTTCTTTCTTCTTTTTTTTTTTGGCCTTATAAATTTCATCACAATTGAATTGCCCTTTTATGGTTAGGAACTCAACAACACTACCATTTCCTATATAATAATTGAACTTCGATAATGCAACTATAGATATGCTTATCAGTTATCAATTATCCCTACTCCTATATATATATATATATATATTTTTTTTTTGAACATATTTGCAAGGGGTAGGTTTCAAACCCAGCCCGGGGAGGGGGAATGCACTGGGTGGCTGAATGCACTGGGTGACTATTGCCACTAGGCCGCAAGGGCCAGGTGCTATCCCCACTCCTATTAGGTCCAATAAAACTAGAAGGACCAACTCTTGGGTTTAAGAAACCTTAAAACACTACTCCTAGGAAAATTAAACTGTGTCAAAGAAAATCTGAGAAAGGAACTTTTTCCCCAGTTTCCTGTGACAACATTGAGGTATTAATTCAAGTGTCAAGACAGCCTCCATTTCTGATGAATGTCTATGACAACTCTAACAAAGCTCCCTTGGCATGCAGTAAACAAAATCTACAAATACTGTCTAAATCAATGTAGTTGAAAAGGGGTAATGTCATGCCCTAAGGCTAAAAGCTAGATGGAACGTCATACAGCACCGATATTGTAGTTCAAAGAAACTATTATAGGAACCACATGCAAAAGTAGAAACTTTGTGCAGATATTTGCATATCGTGGAAGCGGCTTTATGTATATAACATAACACAAACCGTACTGTATATAACATAACCAAACAGTACTCGTACTGGAAAAGAAGCTAAACCAGAAGATGGCTAGAAATGAAAGGGTTGCTGAAGATGAAAAGAATGTCTGCATTCGGTGCAGAGTCCAGCCTTCTGCCTCAACCCCAAAGCAAGTGCCAAAATTTCTTCTGACCCTTAATTTCTTTTCCCTATCTTCTTCTTTAAGTATTATATTATTTGATTTGCTATAATTCTTCTCATGTTTTTATCTCTTTTTTTCTGCAGGAGGGAAGAACAGAAGCAGAACTCTACCAAGTTGAATGATATTTTGGGTCTAAAAGAGCTTTTCTCCTTGGAGGTTTGTATGACCTAAGATGTTAAGTCCATCTCTATATTTTGGGGTTTATAAGTCCATTAATCTTGTAATTCTTTTTCAGGTTTGGAGAGCATCATTGGCAGAACTACTTGGAACAGCAGTACTAGTTTTTGCCATTGACACAATAGTTATCTCCTCCTATCAAACCGAGACGAAAACTCCCCACCTGATAATATCTTTTCTCGTTGCTATTACCGTCACAATTCTCCTCCTAGCTACATTGCCCGTCTCCGGCGGCCATATCAACCCAATTGTCAGCCTTGTTGCGGCTCTCACAGGCATCATTTCGATTTCAAGGGCATTTGTATACATTTTGGCGCAATGCATTGGTGGCACATTGGGTGCAATGGCACTCGAAGCTGTGGTGAATAGTAAGATTGAGCAAAGATTTTCACTTGGAGGTTGCACCCTTACCGTTGTTGTCCCGGGACATCACGGGCCTCTGGTGATCGGGCTCAACACGAGCCAGGCCCTGTGGCTGGAGATAATTTGTTCCTTTGTGTTTCTCTTTGCGTCCATAAGGATGGCTTTTGACGAACGCCAGGCCAAGGCCCTAGGCCGAGTTGTGGTTTGCTCAATCATCGGCATAGTAGTGGGCCTCCTCGCTTTTGTATCGACGACTGTTACAGCAACGAAGGGTTACGCCGGTGTTGGTATGAACCCGGCAAGATGTTTAGGCCCGGCTCTGATCAGGGGTGGGCATCTTTGGGGTGGCCATTGGATATTTTGGGTCGGGCCTGCAATTGCTTGTGTTGCATTTGCCCTGTACACCAAGGTCATACCACATGAACAACTGACTAAGGATTAAAAATGTAGGATGTGTTGGGTTCGATTAATTTTATTTTATTAATTATTTTTAACAGTCAAACGAAATAAAATCATAATATATCCCGGAACATATATAATCCGAGGATGTTAGATGTGATCTTCAAGTATGCCTGTTATATATTCATAATGAAGCATCTTCCAAGTATATTCATTATTTGGTAACCAAATTTCAATCATGTTAAATAAGATGATTTTGAAATAATATTTAGAAAATGAGGAATGAAACGTGCACATTGTCGTAACTGTGTCGGATTTGTTAATTATTTTATAGTATGTTTTGTTCATTTTTGTTTGTTTGAATGTAAGTCTTGATCCATGAAATTATGTTGTAGATAAAATATGTCCCAAAATAAAATAAAACAAAAACTCTACTGTCCAAAATTAGAATGATATTAGCAGCTTCCATTGTTTGTTGGAAAAAATATTACTTGAGTTTAAACAGTCTATAGATTAAAACAATCATAAATTAAACTAATGCACGAATGAGAATAAGAAATTCTTATATACAATTAAAATTTTCAACATGATTTATATTTTTGGAAAAATAATTAATCATTGAATTGATGGTTATGTTTGGCTAAAAAAGAATCCACTGGGGAGGTTTATAAGAAAATTGAACTCCATTAATGTGGATTTTACCTTATAGCATATAAACGAATTAAAATCAAATTTTTTAGAGAAATGGACAATAACAGTTCAATATATTCTTATTATGAATTTTGATTATCAAATTCCCGCTTTCAAAATTATTCTATTTGTTAATTACATTTTTTTGCGCAGCATCTCATACTTTAATAGGCAAGCAACATGCATTAAGGAACTCAATATGATCTTCAATCAAACATGAAATTTGTCATTATTTTTTTTAAAATGTCAACTATATATTGAATATTATTAGCAGGTGTAAGAGTTCTTTATTATGTTTATATTGGAGAGTCCTAAATTCAGGCGAGTAGCATGCATTAACTGAAGGAAAATGATATATTAAAGCATATTCCTTACCGAGCTGTAATATAAAGCATACATGTGACATTATCTATGCTTCCAAAAACTTCCTTCAGTTTGTTAAATTTGGTCGTTGCTCTTGGGTCTCTCCCAAGTAGAAGATACACTTCGTCTTCTTCCAGTCTTCAAACATTATATGCAGCTGAGTATTTGCGTTTCCGTGGTAGAAAGTTAAAGAAATGAATTCAAATTCAATACAAGTCCCTGATCGAGCTAATAACATGAAGAAATTCCAGGAAGCAACGTTTCTTTCTTGGATCGGTGCTCATGAGTTCTTCTCATTAGAGGTATATATATTCAATAAATAGAGTTAAACTCTCAATTTCTTTCATTTTTGTGCAAGAAAAAAGGTAGTGTAATTAGTTGTGGATCCCAACTAAATTAGGTTTTTGTTTTCAGATGTGGAGAGCAGCTCTCGCGGAGCTCGTGGCAACTGCCTTCCTGATGTTTACCTTGACCACATCAATTATCTCCTGCTTGGACTCACCGGAAGCTGCCCCCAAGCTTCTTGTCCCTTTTGCAGTCTTCATAAATGCCTTCCTCTTCCTCCTGCTGACAATTCCTCTCACTGGCGGCCACATGAATCCCATCTTCACATTCATTGCCACCCTCAAGGGTATGATCAGCCCTGCACGGGCCATCATCTACCTATGGGCTCAGTGTATAGGCTGCATAGGAGGCTTCCTGGTACTCAGAGATGTCATGAGCCATGATGTGGCAGATAAGTATTCATTGGGAGGCTGCAGTCTTGGGGGGATAAGCCCATTAATTGCATTGGTATTAGAATTTTCATGCACCTTTCTGGTGCTGCTTGTTGGGGTGACAATAGGATTTGACAAGAGAAGATTTGAAGAGTTGGGATTGCCAATGGTATGTGCCGTGGTGGCTGCAGCCATGGCACTGTCAGTTTTTGTGTCGATTACTGTCACTGGAAGATATGACTATGCCGGTGTGGGGCTCAATCCAGCAAGGTGCTTAGGCGCTGCCTTATTGCGAGGAGGTCATTTATGGAAAGGACATTGGGTGTTTTGGTTGGGACCCTTTTTGGGCTGCATTGTTTACCACTGTTTCACCTTGACCTTGCCCAAACATGGACTGTGAAAATTACATAAGAGGGAGGGATTTCTATTAAGTTAAAGAAATAAACAATTTATTAACACAACACAAGTAAACTGCACAACAAACTTGAGCTACTGATACATAATTTACCAAACCAAAATTTATTGCATTTTGTTTTTTTAATTTTGTTTGTTCGATATATGGTTATTTATCAGTAATCTACGACATATATAACTAAGAAGACGACTGCAAGAGCGAGGAAGAAGACGAAAGAGGCTCGTGCACGACTGAATTGGAAGAAACTGAGACAGGGTTGCCCTCTAGTTGCAGCATTATACTCCCAAGGATTTCAGTCAATATTTTCCTGAACTCATCTTCTTTAACCGTCTTGCCATCATCCGCATTCAACATCTTAAATGATTCCGCAACAACCTTGTCAATCTGGAGAAATTGAATACGAAATAGAGTATAATCATGTTCATTTACTGGTAGAACAGTTAGTAAAATTACTGTTCATAGAGATTGAAAGCAACAGTCTGAATAGAATACCTGCTCCACCGCACCAACTGGAGGCAAACCAGCTGCTGGAGCCACAGCATCTAGTACCAGCTGTAGAAACTCCTTTGATATTGTTCCGTTTTTATCTTTTGGGACATTCTCTAGTGCTGTGTTCAATGACTGCATTCCAGAATGAATTAACTGTAATATGCAGCTACAAGTTGAAACCAAGCGTTTTCATTTTTTGCTGAACATTTTTCGATTCTTTTGCAGCCAAGCATTTTAAAAACTCAACAGTGCCATGTGATTAAAGAGTGAGAAAACAAGTGTTTGTATGCTGGAATTCTTACCTTTTCTAGTTCAAACTTATTGGACAGCAGTCTCTTGATGCCACTTCCATCAAAGGTGTTTTCACTATGGGCAACAATCACAGGCTGCTCTTGGAGACGTTGAGCCACACACTCTGCTACTTTTTTAAATTCTGTCAAGAAAACTTCTTGTGATACAAGTTTGTCTTGATCAATTGCACTGCAAGATTGCAGAGCTGGTTCTACAATGTTGTTCAGCACCTACACAATTGAAAACACTCAGAAAATGGAAAAAGAACGAACAAGTGGTGAATGCAGAGATGGAAAATGGTTTAATTTCTTACTAGACTTTAGCTGATTTTTGTTTTAAATCTAGACTTTTAGTGCATGAGCACAGAATATTTCACCATTAAGATCCCAAAATCCAATTTAGAACTTGATTGACAGTAAAATACTGAAAATGAGTTAGCCCTAAAGGCGAATACTTAATTACCCAAGAATCAGAAGAAGGGGGCATCCCTTGATCAACAGAAAGTTTTTCAAAAGCCTTTATAATGTAATCTCGAAGGGATGCATCAGGTGACTCTATCTGAGTAAATATAGACACCATCTCTGCTTCATAGCTTGGTCCATTGATGAACTCTAAAAGGTCTTCCCCATCAATACGGAGGATCACAATTGGGTCTCGCTTCAAACCAGCAGCCATGCCTAGTAGAATATCTGAGAGAACCTCTTTAAACTCAGTCTTGTTTACCTTCTCTTGTTTGCCATGAGTGAATTCATTCAGAACCTGTTGATCGTATAAATAGCAAGGCCATACCATAAGTCTAAACTTGTTGGTTTAAAACTTTAATTAGGTCAAAGTTACACGATTTAGGATAAGTGACGAATAGTCAACAAAGTGCAGCTTGAAGCTTTTGAATTTTAATACACAAATAATCAGATCAAAAAGTAAAACTGCAGAAAAGTACAAGGCGCTAGCTTGTAACCTTATTACTCCTCGGGGGCCTACATAAGCCTCATGGATGCAGGGCCACACAAACAATATGGTTGAAAATGGTAAAATTACAACCCATTACCGATTCAAAATATGACAAATGGCATCTTCTATCCCAAAAAACCAGTTATGATAAATTTAGTTCAAGAATTCTGTTCATAAAAGCGGAGGTTGAGGTTCTT